TCCTACCAACCCACAATCTGAAGACGTACCTCAGAACACTGGATGATCTCTCCATTAGCCTTCTTCAGAGACTTGAGGAAACTGACAAAGTACCAGAATCGGGACTTGGCTGTAGCTGCATCTGGAGCAAATATTCTCATCTTGTAGATTGCTGGGGTGCGGTTCTTGGGGTTGGGGATTCCCCTCCCCATCACCTTGAATTCTCTGAGCTGTCAAAGAAAAATGTCAAATTAGTATTTCAATCATATCTTAGCTTTTCAGCTTAATTTTGAGCAACAAATCTAAAGCTGTGATGTAATGCAAATTTTACCATTTAGTTACCTTACAATTTACCCCAAGAATTAACCCATACACTATCCCATATTTGAGTATACATATTGAGGGCACAGTGATATGAAATAGAGAGAAGAATTCGGCTCACCATCCTTAATTTACAAGGGCTATGACATGAATCATGTTTACTATAGGCTTGTTTTCTTACTTCAATACTCAAATATTAAATTCAACTGAATACTGCAAACACTTAAAAAATATCATGCCAGTTTTGACAGACATATTAGAAGAGTTTCCCAGCACTGCTCTATTTTGACATTTATGTCACACCCAAGATTCACTTCCAAAACAATAGGTTTAAGTTAGGGAAGGCGACTGGTTGCATTTGATTTAGCACTGAAATATTAATTCCATATGGAACCCGTCCCCATGGAATTCGAGTTAGTGCTGTTGGTTAAAGGTAGTACATCAAAGGAATCCATAGTTTATAAATTTAATGACTTTTGGTAGTTATCTTCAATATTTTAGTACAGCAGAGAAAAAAGTGTTATTTCATAAACATCTGAAGAAATTATATCACCACCACTAAAAACCACATATGTTGTGACATATCCACCATTTCCCAGGCCAAGCATTGTAAACACTAATCTCACAACTAGGATACAATTTGCGTTGGAAATAAATTAATCTCAATTTACATTCTTAACTGCCTTTCATAACTCTCAACTTTTATCATTTCCTTTAAAAGTATGGCAGCTTCATAAATATAGACAGTTGACAATTCCTTGATTCCACGTGATTGAAGTCTGGATTTGACTGTTACCATCAGTTTTTCTTTGATATTGACTATTATTAGCTGAACTTATTAGGCAAAACAGAATATCAGACTTGGGTTTTTGACCAGTGGTGCAAGACGCAGACTCAAAGTATTGGTTTGCCTTAATAGACATGATCTGTTGCACCCAAGATTCACTTCCAAAACAATAGGTTTAAGTTAGGGAAGGCGACTGGTTGCATTTGTTTTTGCACTGAAATATTAATCCCACATGGAACCTGTCCACTTGGAATTCGAGTTAGTGCTTAACTTAATGTTCTTCTGAAATTTATTAAGGTTGGAAAGACACAATTAAGTGATGCCTCTATATAGTTTCTGTGAAATATACATAACTTTACAGTGTCCAAATACAGAGTCTTGACGACTGAATATCGTTAAAGTTACCACGAATAACATAACTACCTCAAAAACAAACCAAGAATCAACTATGATTCAGTACTAAAACAGGCATTTCACGTGAACTGTGGCAGGATACATTCTCCACCAGGCAAAGTCAAGTTTACCATTCTATCATGACCTAATAATTTTAATTCCACGATGCTTCATACTCATCTCTCACACTTTGAGGTGAAACAACTCGGGAACAAATACTTTCCCTGCAGAAATACGGTAAATCCCAGCACGTGTGGACCGTCCGCCATTATTATTCCCCAACACACTGTTCGCCAACATCAAATACAGGTTATTACCAATTATACGTACAACAAAACCTTTGTATCTACATTACGCATGCATACAACTATGTTACAATCTTTGTGGTCACATTCAATGTTTTATTTTGACCTTAATATGTTCGTTTTTAGGTATAAATTGGGCACGCACCTCACCACGAGCCTTCATGTTTGCTACCACGAGGAAAAGGGTTAGTCACGTGACTCACCGGTATAAATTAATTACAAGATATGGGGTGATTCAGATGTGACACAAAAACTATTTTTATATTAGGTTTGTATGTTTAGAAATATATATTCAAATTCTTTTGATAAGTTTAATATGTCTCGCGTGTCTGAGACTATACTTGGGTTTTCCCAAAAGTGCAACCGTATTATCTAACGAACTGAATCTCGTTTTGGGTTTCGTGCCCTTCGTAAGAGTGAATGAGTTTGGTTTTACGCCGCTTTTAGCAATATTCCAGCAATATCACAAAATCAATGTAAAAACAAACAAAATAATTTACTAAAAAAGCAAAAAATAAGAGTTACATTTCTTCACTGCTTGTTCCTAAAAATATTCTGGGGGGATAAAAAGACACCAATTGCACGAGGTAAAAAACGAAAAACGTACAATAAAACACAGCCCTGTGGCGTACTTCAAAGTCTTTAAGTAAGAAAGAGACTCGGTGGATTCAATCATTAATCTAAAAAAATTAAAAAATAAATGATGCGTGAAACAGCATGTTAATTGTTTATTATAAATAGTACGAACAAAATGGGACGGCATTCTTGCATCACGAAGTTACTTAAATTTATATGGTTAATGATGATTTCCTAAAAGTCACCATTCTCTTACTCAGACTACAACCATAGAGCACATTGTCACAGAAGTGAGTAAGTGAATATAGTTAAAAACCGTTTTTAGCAACATTCCAGCAATGTCTCAGCAGGAGACGCCAGAGGGCTTCACACATTGTACCAATGCCGAGAAATCGAACCCGGATATTTGGCGTGACGAGCGAACGCTTTAACTACCAGGCTACCGTACAGCCCATTGAAGAGGACGACGGACCTAGGTCAGTTGGTAGTCAAAACAAAGTTCGTTTAAGTCATTACCAAAAAAAATCTTCTAAATATTGGTCATGGTCAAGAGGCATAACGCGCATAACCAGCTAACGCTTTAACCCCTTATCACATGTAAACATATCTACCGTATTGGCCTCAGCAAAGCCGACCGTGCACTTAGAGTCGGGTATTGGATCACTGACAGAATGTAGAAGATACACAGTATGTGAAAACTGTTGTGTGTATAATCAGTGGATCATTATTTCACTCATTTCCTGAATCTTTTTAACAGATAATATGTTGTCAGTGACAGGGCCAACAACGCAGATATCATACCTATGTACAGCGAGTTACTTTCATAAGTGTACCATTTCAGCTAATGATCATTATGCAGTCTACAAATAACCGATATAATCTGCCCATAATGTTTTATTATCACGTTTTTTTAATTATGGGTTAGAAGATGTCTCTAACATCCTATGAGAGAGAACGGTTGCTCAGAATATCAATCATTGGAATATCCGGGCCAGTATGAATTCTGTACAGCTGGAATATTGCCGAATGCAGCAGAGCAGAGCCCCCAAGTCCTCTCAGGGAAAAACAACTCTTCCGTCGTCAGATGGATCAATCTCTCAGATCCACGTTATTTTCCCGTGCGCCCTGTCCTTTCTACACATAGTGCGACCTCCTCCGTGGTGTAGTGGTTAGAGTGTCCGCCCGGAGAGCGGAGGGTCGCGGGTTCGATCCCCGACCGCGTCATACCAAAAGACGTTAAAATATGGTACTTGTTGGTCCCTGCCTGGCGCTCGGCATTAATGGGTACAACAAGGACTGGTCGGCTCGGAGTCAGTATAATGTGTCTGAGTGGGGTATTCATGCTTCACTGCGGCATGGTGTCTCAGTGGGCTAGCACTATAAAACCAGCTTAAGTCTTGGCTAGTACAAGAAGCCGCACATACACATACACACGCATACACGTCGTCATATGAGCGAAATATTCTCAAGTACGACGTAAAACCCAATTTCACCTCACCTCACCTCACATATAGTGCAATAGCCCTGTAAATGAAGACAGTCCAGCTGCAGATCTCTCAGGTGCTGTATCTCCCAACTCACACGGACTCCTTTTCAATTTAAATGGAGGCTTGATTTTTTCACCAAAAAATTATTGTTTCAGAACTTAATGTTAGTCTAGTTGGACTAAACAGTGTCCTAATTTGAATTAAAAAATACTGTGGTTTCATATTCATATGTCACCTGTTCACTTTCCAGCACAAAACTAACTTTGGAACCAAGCGCACAAGGTGAGATATATGTGACATGTAGTGTAATGTTTTGAGTCGCTGACCGATTTAGATTAACTGAAAGTTCACCGACATTTCTCTGTTTGAGCAGGGATAATCTACAACGCGTTATATAGTCTCCCTGGTTTGAGGTAGTCGGTGTCGTCTTATGATATAGTCTCTGCATGGTTACGTTAGAATGATTTGTACTCTTATAACATCAATATATCGGTGTACAGTTTTATCACAATAACAGTAGTCTACATTCTCTGACTGTCATGTTGTGTCTGAAGTGTGTAAGGGGAGGTGGGATAGCTTTGTGGTTGAAGCCTTCACTGTGTCACAACGAAGACCCGGGTTCGATTCCTCGCATGGGTACAATGTATGAAGCCCTTTTCGGGTTCCTCTATCGTGATATTACTGGAATATTCTTAAAAGCGGCGTAAAACCATACTCACCCTGAGCTGCGGTCAGGGTGGGGTGGGGGTTGGGGTTTGTGTATTGCAACATGATACATTCTGAGGCTTTGTGGATCTCCAGAGTGTTAGGGACGACATGCCATGGATGACACGTTTACTGCTTCCCAGAGGCCCTAAAAGATGGCCACACATTTTTTTATTTTGCCAGGGGCTCAACCCGAAATACCAATTGGGCGTCTCCCTGTACATTTGGTCACCTCCCAGGTGGAGATCATCTACACAGCGTCAACCAACCACGTTGTCATGTTCTTTACGCCTCACTCAGTAATATACAAGGTGTTTGATGATTTCACGTTGCTAAATTCTTATCAAATAGGTTGCTAAAATTAGAACATTGCGGGGAATTTTTCTGACTAATCCATTTCCGCAGTAGGATATGTGGTGTGTTTTTACATAAACCCATGTCGAAAAACATGGAGGCTGACGCATGGGCCGATGATGAAACGTGGAACCGTTCAGATGCAATGCAGTGATTGCAATGAGCTGTAATAACCATGGGTAGTTTCGAACACTTACGTCACATGAACAGCTGACCCACACTGCTTACTTGAAACTTATCATTTGACGAGATACCGCAAGAAACACCGCATATGTGATCGTTTAGGAAGCGGGTCACGCTTACGGCGTGGTTATGTAGAAGATAGCCAAACTTAACGATGTAAACAACGTTTGTGTATCAACGTTTACGCTTGTGAATATTGACATTTTAACATTTTAACCTGTTCTCTAAGGAAGAGACAATTATGGACGAACTGGCGCTCCAGGGGTTGGGCTCTCAAGGCAACAGCCTTGCCCAAAATAGGGTAAGTTATGTGAAGAACGATAGTCCCAAGTTCTCACATGCATGTTGTGTTCTACCGTAATCGTGGCAAGTTTTTGAATTAACTGTCGTCAGGTCATTTCCTCTTTCCTTTATAATCGGCAGACATTAGAGAAAAATATGACATATGTTTGGGGTTGAATTCAATTATGTAACTTCCTGGAAAATGATATGTTGAACTTTCACTTGAGTGATCCAAGTTAGGCCACAAATGTAGACGCTTGTGTCGTTTAGACGTTTTGGTGTGTATTAAAATCAATAGCATGTCCTATGGGGAGTAGTGCACTACCGGTGCACTTTTTCAGATTAAATAGCGCGCTGCTGGGTCTTGAACAGGCTTTCCCGGATTACCAACTTTGTTAACGCGTGACATGATTAGTGGATGTTCTACATCAGGACCACGAGCACCATCACTGTTAATGAGTACTCCTTTAAAAGGTCATTCTCACAGCAGTGCCACACCCTTCCCATTCATTTTTTGACGCCATTGTTTCTCGGACTGTACCGACGGTCCCGGATGGGGCAAAATGTGTTTCAGTTGGATGTAGTCAGATTACACTGCCCAAAGGTAAGGTCTAACCCTACCGATTGGAAAATGTTGTATCCCTCTAAAGATGTTCAAGCTCCCTATGGATTGGAAAGGGTCCCTACCCAAACTCCATCCCTAAGGGATGGAAAGGGTCCCAAACCCTGAGGACCCTAAACCCTAAACCTAAAGATCGGAAAGCGTACCTAAACCTAACAATTGAAAGGGTTGATTGTCTCAAACTATGTGTCGGCTCCCTAAGTTTCAATTGTTTGCCTCTGAAGAAGTGCACGTATTTGGAGGAAAGCACTGGCGTGTGAAGCAAGCAGCAATATAGCGAGACAGCGGGAGTGCTATAGTGCAATAATTGCTCCGCGTCCGGCAGTCATAGCTGGCTGGTTCTTCACCCAGTAAACTGCACTCTAGCCGTCATATGTACTGTGTATTTGCTTCAACATATTCTATGGCAAGACGGTGAACTCTTACAACATAATCATTAATGTGGCATCTAGAGAGTTACTAGGTGCCTTTGAAATTCCAGAAGCCAAATTCTGATCATAGAAAAGTATTGTCACCAACAACTGCCACAATATATCATCGATACTGTTTCGTGTTCAGATAAGATCAAATGTTAGAAGGATTACTGTCAACCTCTCATGCTTGAATTCTCATTTGAAATCAACCTGTTCTCAAGATCAGATTAATGGTAAATATGATGGATAGGTAAAATCTGTTAGTGTCTCTTTGAGAAAACCCATGAAGGGTATGTGCATATATAATGGTAACAATTTACTTGTGTGTAAAATAAAGCTGGATGCCCTTAGTCTGCTGAACATGCTAAATTATTCATCTGGCAATGTTCAAATTTGTTTCTTTTTATGAGATTTCAATCATCAGTGTGTATCTTTTTGCAAAGCATTAAGAACTTCTAGATCCTGTTGATATCATAATGCTTTAACTTGGGTTTGTGATAATTAAACCACTGTATTGAAAGGGCCAGAGAGAGGTAGGCAAGTTGCATAGAACTTAACTTCCTTCATTTATATATGAAAATATGGAACAAATCTATTTGAACTAAACATGGTTCCTTTAGATTTAACCTCATCAGTATAATGTAGAAACACCATGCATGCATTGATCAAAGCAACATCAAATTACCACTAGAACCATGTGTTCTGTTGGTGTCGCCTGTTGCAATATTAACACTGGCTGACACACACCGGACTACAGTGATGTGTGCCTGGTGTCGAAACTACAGACAGTGACAGTTATACAACGAGGATCAACTTGAATGTTTTCATCAAACACTCACCTGTAAAGATCCGGGTTAGAATTGGTCTTCAGTAACCCTTGCTTGTCGTAAGAGGCGACTAATGGGATCGAGTGGTCAGGCTCGCTGACTTGGTTGACACATGTCATAATATACCAATTGCGTAGATTGATGCTTATGCTGGTGATCACTGGATTATGAAGACAAGCGGTATCTATAGTGATGTCTTGTCTCACCAGGCCCTGCAGTACTTCGAAGAACTGAAGCAGCAGCCGGATGGATGGAAGATCTGTGCACAAGCACTAACAAGTGGCAGGTATCACAGGTACGTCGGAACTTGTAACATGCCACATCTTTTTTACTGCTTGATGTGTTACTGCTTGTCCAAGCTTGTCACATCTTTCACTGCTTGATACCTTTGTTATGTTTGTCATGAACAGGAAGGGGTGGAAATAACTTTAAAATTGCTCGTGTACTCCGGTACAGTGGCACATGTAAAATCCCTTGCCCTGATAATTTTTCCACTATACCGGCCAATTTTCTTTTAGATTTTCAAATAAACAACATAATTAACATTAGAAAGTCAACTGGACAGTCTGTACATAGTGATATACAAATTTGCTTGCCCGACAGAAAAAAACACTGGACTGGGACGTCGAGCAATGGGTTATTTCCACCCCCTGACAGGTCTGTGTGATTGTGAGCCACAGTGTTCTGTGAGTCATAAGATTATCGTGCCACATGACAGCTACCTGCCTAGATGCAGGTATGAAAGTTTGAGTGGAATCTTGATGGTTTGAAACAAATACTGCAGTATGATTTATTGACATAAATACATTACATATTTTTTTGTTTAAAAAGAACTATGAAAGTTATACCTAACTCTGTGAGTTTGTGGTTGTAATCTTGGGTACTGGTTCACAGAGCTAATGATGAAAAAAATACTGCCTATTGTAGTTTTGTTCAAGAGCTTCTCTGAAGATGTAGTTGTGTGTACAGCATTATCTAAGTTTGTTTGTCTTTAAGTGAAATGTTAAATAGTCCTCCATTTTGCAGTTTTGCCTGTAACATCATGTAGTGGTATAATCAATTGTTGTGTGGTGTACACAACAGTTTACAATTTAATAAATAAGTGCTTTTCAGATTTTGTTATTTAATACTTTGCTGAGGATGGTGTAATATGTTTCATGTTTTACATGATTCACAGTTTGTCAACTGGTTGTCGACTACTGCCAGTAATTTTAGAAAACAGAAAATGATCATGGCTACTTATGATATTCACCTGTGGAGATCCGGGTTAGAATTGATCATCAGCAACCTTTGCTTGTTGTTAAAGGTGACTAATGAGATTGCATGGCCAGGTTCCTTGACTTGGTTGACATGTGATCATATCCCAACTGTGTAGATCACCGTCATTTAGCTGGGATATTGTTGAGTGCAGCGATAAGCACATAAAATTACGTTATTCATGAGACTTACTACACAATGACAGATCACTGATGGCTTGTTCATGTCTGAAGTAAATTGTCTCCATTTGTATGACCTTTATACATACATGGCTCTAGACCGCCTCCGTGGTGTAGTAGTTAGAGCATCCGCCCGGAGAGGTGGGCTAGCACTTTAAAAACCAGCTTAAGTCTGGGCTAGTACAAGCAGCCGCACATACATGTGCACACGCATGCATGTCGTCATATGAGCGAAATATTCTCAAGCACGACGTTAAACCCAATTTCACCTCACCTCACCTACATGGCTTTAATATTTCTTTTCAGCAATGACCATGTGAAGTTCTTTTGTTTACAAGTTGTGGAACACTATTTGAAGAACAGGTATGTACTATATCACACCAAGTAGGAACTGTGAGTTAACATTGATTTACAGCGGCGGGGTAGCCTAATGGTTAAAGCGTCTGCTCATCACACTGAAGAAAAGGGTTCGATTCCCCACATGGGTACAGTGTGTGACATTGCTGGAATATTGCTTACATCAGTGTAAAACCATACTCACTACTCAATGATGACGATGATACCAAATAAATACAAGAACAGAGTGCTTCTAAATTGACAGATTGTATATAGCGATTCCCTGCCAACCTGATTCAGTTAGTGTGAAGTTAAATCAACCCCAGGGGCTAGTAGAGTTTCATCCTTTCAGAGTGTCTTCTTGTGTTGCCACCACTCAGTGTTTCAGTGAAGTTATATCCCTGATTACTTTATCATCATTCATGTTCAGTGTCGACTTTTTTTCTCGTTTTAGTTATGCACAGTCCACACAAGAGGACCACAACAACGTCAAGTCTTTCATCAATGCCTGTTTGCAAATGGAGGTAACGTCAACCCCTTCATGCTGCTCTCAACCCTCTTATGCTCTCATTTCACTCATTATATCAACAACCTGGTTTATCATGTCTGTAAGAATGTGACCACCCGTACGAGTCCCCAGGAAATATACCAGTAATATCCTACAGAACATTTTATCACTATGTTTTGTAAAACTTGAAATGAGGCTCAAATTGGGTTCTGTTGTTATCCTCAGCACCTGTGAAGATCCTGGTTAGAATTGATCTTCAGTAACCCATGTTTGTCGTAAGAGGCAACTGACGGGATTGGGTGGTCAGGCTCGCTGACTTGGTTCACACGTCGTATCTCAAATGCGTAGATCGACGCTCATGATGTTGATTACTGGATTGTCTGGTTCAAACAAGATTATTTACAGACCATCACCATGTAGCTTGAATATTGCTCAGTGCAGTGTTCAACAACAAACAATCAGTGTTATCCCCAGCTGAATATCAGATCATCTCCATCAGATGTTGAGAGATATTTAAGGAATGGTACACATTCATATTCTTTTACTTCAGGGAAATGAAGCAAGCCAAGGCAAGAACTTCCTACGCAATAAAGTCGCCCAGATTGTTTCCCTTGCGTTCATTGTGGACTATCCCCACCGATGGCAGACATTCTTTGACGACCTACTGTCCACCTTGTCTCTGGGTCACCTTGCTGTGGACATGTTCCTACGGATACTGCTGGCCATCGACAGCGAGGTGGTGGACCGAGAGATTGTCCACACACCACAAGTGAGAGAATAGATTGGGCATTTGTATCCATGACATGTACTTTCAGAGTAGTCGGGGTCAGAACAGATCCCCAGTGTATCTGACAATTACAATGTGTGACTGTTGATATTAAGTCATTGTGCAGTAATTGCAAGTTTTTAAGACATAATTGACAATGTTCTGCTGTACTTTGAAGCAGAATAATCTAGTAGTGACTACCAAAGTGAATTATTGTTGGACATCCACAGTTACGACTGTATCAATGCTAGATAGATCAATTTATGATGCTATGACGAGTGACATCTTGGCTTGTTTTACAGGAGACACAGCGGAACACTGTGATTAAAGACACGATGCGGGACCACTGTGTGGCACAGCTGGCCGACTCCTGGTACCAGATCATGGTAAGGAAACACCTTAGAAACACCGACAGATTCTGGGTTAAAACTGTTCTTTCACAGCAACCTGTTGTTGTCATGAGATTGTTAACGTTATCTAATATGATAGAGGGAATGTAGTACGTTTGTCGGTACTAGTGGACATGGGACGTTGTATGTTATGTTATCTACCATGATAGAGGGAATGTAGTACGTTTGTCGGTACTAGTGGACATGGGACGTTGTATGTTATGTTATCTACCATGATAGAGGGAATGTAGTACGTTTGTCGGTACTAGTGGACATGGGACGTTGTATGTTATGTTATCTACCATGATAGAGGGAATGTAGTACGTTTGTCGGTACTAGTGGACATGGGACGTTGTATGTTATGCTATCTACCATGATAGAGGGAATGTAGTACCTTTGTCGGTACTAGTGGACATGGGACGTTGTATGTTATGTTATCTACCATGATAGAGGGAATGTAGTACGTTTGTCGGTACTAGTGGACATGGGACGTTGTATGTTATGTTATCTACCATGATAGAGGGAATGTAGTACGTTTGTCGGTACTAGTGGACATGGGACGTTGTATGTTATGTTATCTACCATGATAGAGGGAATGTAGTACCTTTGTCGGTACTAGTGGACATGGGACGTATGTTATGTTATCTACCATGATAGAGGGAATGTAGTACGTTTGTCGGTACTAGTGGACATGGGACGTTGTATGTTTGGGGATGTGGTTTAAAGTCTATGATGGCCAGATATAAGAAGACTTTGTCTATTGTGTTTTCAGACAGGGTATGAAACCAACAAACCTGAAATAACCTGTGCCTGTCTGGACGTTGTGGGCAAATTTGTGTCTTGGATTGACATCAGCCTCATTGCCAATGACAAGTTTGTATCTTCATTGCTGCGGTTCCTGTCCTTGCCCCTGGTGAGAGAGAGTGCGTGTGACTGTATCCACGAGATCATCAGCAAGGGAATGGATCCTGTCAGCAAGACTAAACTTGTGGAGTCTTTCATGACGTTTCTAGACAACGCTGGCGTGCTCAACCCACCGGAGGTAAGAGCAGCACTTAGTGTCCAAACAATAAATGACAAACTGCTGTAATAATGATTACATTACAAGCTTTTCATTTCAAGATGTATCATCACAAGAATGTTATCTGCTGAGTAAGGGATGGATGATTCCAGGTTAGAATTGGACTCCATCAACCATTTTGGTCAAAATAGGCGACCAAGACACTGTTTTTGAGGTTACACACCACCAAATGTTTTCCCATAGACTTCTATAGTAACCTTATAATTTAAAAAAAAATAGACAGGCTATCAACAGCCATTCCATGTACACATGGGTACACTCTGGCCTTTAAACTACCATAAAACACAATATCTGGCCAACTTGTCCGGCTCGTTTTGCGAGCACAGGAAGCGGAACACATCAACCCCAGTTCCGCACCAAATGTCACCTACTGGAAAATATCTGTACACACAATAAGCATAAGTGATGGTGATAAAAATGACAGCACTAAATACTTAAAATTGTGCTCAGTTTTAATTACTGGTTGGATGTGCTTTTAAAAAACAAACATCTTACACTATTTCATCCAATCACAGCTGTCACATGTCTCTGTCTCTCTTGACTTGTTTACATACAGGTCTCGCGCAGGGAGCATGTGATACTGATTTAGTGTAGTGGAACCCGGATGGTCTCTTTTTTGTGACTGTGTTTAATATGAGACCTGATGGAGAGATACAAGTGGTATGACACTGGCCATTGTTCGCAGTTCCAGTTACTAGGTTGTCTTGATTGTGTTCATTTGACTATTTACAAGCTGGATTATTTGCTGATGATGGTGTTGTAACACATTCAAAAGGATTTTGTTCATCAGCTAAAGACGGCCATGGAACATAGCTTAGATTCTGGGGAAGAACATGATCCAAGTATGCCATGTTGTCATAAATGCTGGGATTGGGAGGATTGTTGGTCAGACACTGGTTTGCTTGGTCCAGACTGGATTGTGTTACAGAATGTCATGATATGGCTGTAACATTGCTGGCACACATACCATGCAGTCACTGCTGCTGATGGGGGCGTGGGTGTCCCAGTCATCTAAGCCGCTCAGTTGACTGTACAGAGATTCCTTATTTAGCTTCACAATAAACCTATGGTTGTGGGTTTGAATCCTGATGTTGCCTTTTTCAAGTTAGTCAAATCATACTAAATATGACATGCCTAATGCCTCTATATCTGTTTTGAAGGATGAAGAGGGGGACTTCCTGTCCAAGCTGTCCAAGTTGATCAATGGTGTTGGCATTGCATTGTTGACATCATGGCAGAAGTGAGTACTCAACTAATATTTTCTGCATCTTTTTTGTAGTTTCAGGAAATGATTATTAGAGTTTGAACACCAATTGAGTGGATTGTTTTTCATACAAACGTTCACAGATTCAGTCTGGATTCAGTGGTTGTCACAGTGTTTACCATGCTTACTGATGTGACAAACAAAATAATACCTTAACTTCGACGCCTGACAATTGTAGGGGTGTGGGGTGTGCAGAGTTACTTCCCCTTGCCATGCCAGATGTTCCCCTTGCCAGGTTCAAGTCTCAAATTTCCTTATTAGAGTTGTAAGATTGTCAGCACAATACACTTGTGTGCATTTCATCAAAGTCTCTGGTTACTTTCGTCTTTGTGTTACTTTGTGTGATCTATATCTACCAAGACACAAACCATTCTTCAATGACTATGTCCATTGCAGGTTAGCTAAGAGTGGCGATACACAGTCTGCAAATAACACTCTACAAGCGCTGGAAAGCAAAGTGCCGTACATGCTGCGGTTCCTTGGTGATGAAGATGACGATGTGTCTGGGGCTGTTGCAAACTTCTCTCAAGAATACATCAACTTGTTGAAACAAATAGCTCCTCTCTCGCCCAAACAGAGGGACAATATGGAGGTAGGACTTCATATATAACACTGCTTTGAGTTAACTCCTTTCTGCACTAATTGAACTACACCATTACTGATTCTACCAAGTATTCCTGTGCTAACCAAGGGTGGAATTCTCCTTCCTTGAAACAGAACTACAGTAATCTTGTTGGGACATTTCCACAATTCTGTCAACTTTAGATAGGATATTTCTCTCTTTATTTTACCAAACTAAACAAAATTATTAGGACCTGTTATGTTACAATCATTTTGTGTCCAAATAAAGGAAGTCTGAAATTCCGCAATTAATGAGCGAGTGAAGAAAATTTAGCTTTCAGGGCCAGCTGTTTCTATGGATATAGGATGTGGTAATTTGTCGCCGTTAAACCCTGTTGTATGCCAATGATAGACATGATTAAGTAGACATGAACCTCCTACTTTCTGCATCTACATCACATACATACTTGGGGAGAATAAACTGTCATGAGGTATTCAGCAGTGAAGGATGACAATCTCATCATGGGAACTATTCGATTTATATGGCCAGATGAAATGTTTCGTATATTGTCTGAAAATGTTCATACGATGTTGTTGTATTCTTGTATCTGGTTGTGCTGACATTGATTCTATTTCTTTGGCAGGGTCTCCTTTACACAATAGTCAAGAAAATGAAGTATGACGATTCTTACAATTTCGACCAAGAGGTAACAGATTTTTTGTACTTTTTACCATTTTAAAAATCTTAAGTCAAAGGTCAACTTTGTGTGTAGTGAACAGTCTCTATATTGGCCTCCCTGACACCCTACTTGACAGACTACAAAAAGTCCAAAGTACAGCCGCCGCATCGTCAGCCGCACTTCTAAACACACCCACATTACCCCAGTTCTAAAGCAGCTCCACTGGTTACCCGTGAGAGCCAGGATCCAATTCAAGACGCTGTGACTGACATGCAAGTCCCTTCATGGCCAAACTCCGCCTTACATTGCTGACTTGATCAACCCCTACAGTCCAGCCCGCATACTTTGCTCACAGCAGCACTTTGCGGCAGTGGGGTAGCCTAGTGGTTAAAGCGTTGGCTCGTCACGCCGAAGACCCAGGTTCGAATCCCCACATGGGTACAATGTGTGAAGCCCATTTCTAGTGTCCCCCGCCCTGATGTTGCTGGAATATTGCTAAAAGCGCGTAAAACCAAACTCAGTCAGTCAGTGGTACTTCGCTCACTGCAGCAAAACCTTCTCACAGTGTCTAACTACAAACATAAAACGTTTGGCTACCGAACTTTCTCCTACTCTTCCCCTGTCTTGTGGAACTCTCTCCGCTTTGACCTCAAACACTCTGAATCTCTGGATTCTTTTAAATCAAATCTCAAAACTTACCTCTTTGCTCAATATTATCGTCAATAGCCTTAATATGTTTATGCATTATGCACCTATTCATTGTCATTTTCTCAACTCTGTATATATTATGTATGTATTTTTATGTAGCGCCAAGAGCATGCTTATGAGCGTGGATATGTGCACATTATAAATATGCACTATTATTTGTTGTTATTATTATTGGTCAGGATGTCTCGAAAGGAATCATCACATCCCAATTGTGTAGATGGATGCTCATGCTGTTGATCACTGGATTGTCTGGTCCAGACTCGATTATTTACAGACCGCCGACAGATAACTGGAATGTTGCTGAGTGTGGTGTTCAATAACGATCAACAAAAAAGCAACATGGAATACTTTGTCTTGAACTGATTTACAACTGTAAGTTGTGTGTAATCCGTGTGTTTGTCACGTGATACAGGGGGAAGATGAGGCCATGTTTCAGGAGTATCGGAAACAGCTGAAGGTGATCTTCAACAACCTGGCTCAGCTGGTGAGTGCGACTTAAAACATTTTAACAACAATGGAGGAGGTATCAAGAAATGCTAGGTAGCTAACTGGTTAATGAGTTGGCCGGTAGAGAACACCAGAGTTGGAGTCCCCATTTGGGTCCTCTACATGGAGGCAATTATTGGGTACCCTGACAGAGTGAGGGGAATTGGACTGTCATATTGCACTTTGTAGCAGTAGTGTTTCGTCTCAATAGTATATTGCATCTAAAAGTAGTAATGAACTATGCCTTGTTGCCAAACAGTGTTAAAATCTGTAGATTGTTTGGTAGAAAGCAGCATCAAATTACCACTAGAACCATGTGTTCTGTTGGTGTCGCCTGTTGCAATATTAACACTGACTGACACACACCGGACTACAGTGTTTTGTGCCTGGTGTGGAAACTACAGACAGTGACAGTTGGAGAGAAACTTGAGGCTTTCATGAAGCACTTGGTGAAGACTACCAGACCTATAGTGTCACAGGTTGAAACTTGAAACTTTACTACCTACAACATATCTATCATCAATATCATGTTTTGTGCTTCTCAATATTTCTAAACACTTGGAAACTACAGAAAATGATACTTTGATACTGATGACGTCAGTATGAAATCCATGCAGTGCAATATTCATGATGGTAGGGATAGGTGCTGGAGGTTCACAGTGTTTGATTGAGATTCATATCATTGTAGTTTGAGTTCAGAAGCAATCAGAAAAGTTAATAAATAGAACATAACAAGATGCTGGTGATAATGACCGACCACGCTGCCATCTTTGAGACATGGATGTTTTTGGCAGAAGTGTAGGAAGTGCATGCACTTAAGGGAGGTAACTGAGAAGTCACTAAGAACTTGGAGTGAGTGAGTGAGTTTAGTTTTACGCCGCTTTTAGCAATATTCCAGCAATATCACGGCGGGGGAACACCAGAAATGGGCTTCACACAATGTATCTAAGAACTTTGAGGATTTGCCTTTTAGTTTTAAAATTACAGAATACATTTTGAAGGTGTTTGGCTAATTTATAACATTAAATACATGATGAAATCACCCAATATACAGACTAGAGCATTAGTATTGTGATACCTATCATGGAGAGAATGAACCTCAATAAACTGATATACCAATAATACTGTGTACCTTTACATCACTGACTGTTGACTTAGTTTTTCCACAAGTATGCATCCAGGAGTAAAATGTTGTTAAACACATTTATATTTGTCTTAGAGTTTTTGTTTTAGTTCCATAGTTACTGTGATTTTCTTGTTAATTACCAGGTATTTGAAGGATTTTCTGATAACAGAACACTATAGAACAAAGCTGTAACACTCAATTCTGACTGTCCCCTACATTGTGTCAATGTTTTATTTGTTTTGTAGAAAGCAGCATCAAATTACCGCTAGAACCGTGTGTTCTGTTGGTGTCGCCTGTTGCAATATTAACACTGACTGACACACACCGGACTACACTGTTGTGTGACTGGTGTCAAAACTACAGCCAGTGACAGCTGTAGAGCTGAAATTGCTTACACACTTACACACTGTGTTGATGATTACAAGTGAGGGTATTTGTCTGCCATATTGCACTTTGTTGCAGTAGTGTTTCCTGTATCCCAGTACGTACCACAGTATCCCAGTACGTACCACAGTATCCCAGTACGTACCACAGTATCTTGCATGCTATCTTTCATCTCTGTATGGCTGAAATACTGCCAAACAGTTAACTCACTTCATCTCTGTTATGAACTATGCCTTGTTGCCACACACTGCTAAAATCTGTAGATTGTTTGGTAGATAGCAGCATCAAATTACCACTAGAACCGTGTGTTCTGTTGGTGTCGCCTGTTGCAATATTAACACTGACTGACACACACCGGACTACACTGTTGTGTGCCTGGTGTGGAAACTACAGCCAGTGACAGTTGGAGAGCAACTCGAGGCTTTCATCAAGCACGTGGTGAAGACTCCCAAACATATAATGTCATACGTTGAAATAGGAACTTTGCTAGTTTACTGCAAAACTATAACCCATTTATTAACCCCCGCAACATGTTTTGTGGGGGGTATTAAAACGCACTCCATCCGTCCGTCCCTGCGTCCATGCACATTTCCAGAGCAGAACATTAAAACTGTTCAATATTTCTTCACCAAACTTGGCAGATAGTCAGGTCTAGTGGTGAACTGGTGCCTTTTGGTAGTTTTGGATTTCTGAGTATAATATATTTTTACGTTTCCATGACAAAATGGTTGCCACATGTCATCAGTTCCCAATTGCGTATATCGATGCTCATGCTGTTGATCACTGGATTGTCTGGTCCAGACTCGATTATTTACAGACTGCCGCCATATAGCTGGAATATTGCTAAATGTGGCATAAAACTAAACTTACTCACTCACTGCTATATACACACTAAAACATTTGACATAGTTGTAACTAACTGACATATTCATGAAGAGTATTTTACCATTGCAGGGGATATTGATGACTTTGTCTTCTTGTTATTAATAAACAGCACTTGGATATAAACAATAATGTCTAATGTTGTAGCTGCTTCAATCTATTTTTGCAGAAAGAACAAATTTAGTTTGAGCAAGAATTTGATATAGCCACATGACATCTACTGTGACATTTTTTAACATATAAATGAATAAAACAGACATTTAAAAAAAAAGTTAAAATCAGTATACAACTGGCCTACCAGCAGTGTTATAAGACAATTGAGCCTGATGTATGCAACATCAAATTACCAATGTCACAGCTTGTAGCATTGGTGTCGCCTGTTGCAACATGAATGATGACTTTACACTGATCAGACGGTGATACTGAACCCTCTGACGTTAGGAGTCACCTACACTCGCTTGGTTGTTGATGTGCATTCATGATGTGTGTCAGTACACTCAGATCATTCCAAAGGAAGGGTTTTACCTTCAACTACCATACAACTTCCCATCCCACCCCTTCCCCTCCAGTGTTGAGGGGGTGGTGGAGTAGCCTAGTGGTTAAAGCATTCATTCACTTGTCATGCGAAGACCCGGGTTCGATTTCCTACATGGGTACAATGTGTGAAGCCCATTTCCGGTGTACCCCGCTGTGATATTGGTGGATGATTTTGCTAAAAGCGGCGTAAAAGCCTGCTCACTTACCTAGTGTCAAGGGTCAACACAGGACTTATGAGGGTTCTGTTAAGTAATATAATGGTGTAGGAAGCTGTATTGATAGATTTGATAATTACTTCCATTAAATAGTTTATATTTCCAGTCAAGAATCAGGGATTATTTTTGTGTGTCCATCGGTACGTGGTATATTTCCTTTCTGTGTCCTTTCTAGACTCTAGACCTTAGTTCGTATTGAAGGCACATGTCTTATTGAAGCCCTGCAGTGGAATTAGATTTCTGAGAGTGGGAGATGTCGTATCCATGTTATAACATGTCCTGAGGCTGGTATTCGGCCCTAAGTCTGTACTAAGTAGCAGTATGTCCCAAATTGAAGTTAAAACCCAAACTTGTGTTGGATACCCAATATAATAAAGCCAATGCATTAAATAACGATTTGCTTGCCAAATGCCCTTGAATGTAAGAACTTGTAAGGCCAACAATTTGTGGGAGCCTAGTCTCCTTCACTGGGATCACATCGCTAGGGATCTGTACGACATGGTGGTTTGTTCTGGGGAAACTCTAATAGTTAGTTTGGTTGACTGACTGACTGATGTGTGTGGAATACATGGCTGTTGTCTCCCTGCAGGACTCGGAGCTGGTGATTGTGACGGTGCACAACATCGTGACACGGACGCTGCCACAGTGGGAGGCGGTGGAGTTGAAGGACGTTGAGATGGCCATCAACCTGCTGTACATGCTGGGGGGAGGCTGTGCCGGTCAGTAGAATAATGGGCTGGATGACCTAGTTGTTGGAATTCGATAAAAGAGCAATCAGTGATCAATTAAAGATTGATTGGAATAGGGTAGACATTATATAAAGTTTGTTTGACATTATAAAATGTTTCTCATTATATCATGCAAATATCAGAATTATTTACTGCTGTGTAACTCTGGTATGTTCTTTTGTCTACAGGCGTCTCAAGGACAACACTTCAGCGGCAACCTCGCTAAGGCTTCCGCCCTTCAGGAAATGATGAGACTGGTTAGTTGGCTTCCTTGATATGTTTTCTAACATGTGACTATCTGATTAGGACTCATCTCAGCAGCAGCAGCCTGAATCATCACCAACAAGACATGCACGTGCATGCAGCACAAAAACAGCAAACGAAAATACCACCCAATTATAGCTAAATCACTGTAGTTGATCTGGAGTGACAGTGAGGATTAAGTACAGTAATATGAAACCTCTTATGAGCGGTAGAGACTGCAATGCTTTCTTCAGAATACATTACATAGATGTGAACAAAGTTAGAAGAGTGTCTTGTAAATCTCTCTGTGCACTAGAGTTTGGTAGACTTTCTGACGTGATTACTGCGAGGTTTGTTTAACCTGGTGTTGTTTGTGTGTGTCTCCAGCTGATCACCAGCCGCGTGAGCTGCAGTGGACATGTCATGATACAGCTCCAGTTCTTTGAGACCGTCGTCCGATATGACAAGTTCTTTAGCTGCGAACCAGATCACATCCCAGAGGTTCTGGTAAGTTGAATCACAACATTTACATCTGTACTCCAGTCAGCCATTATGTATTTCCGAAGTCAGCTTTGTGATGCATTAGCCTAAGTGTCTGAGTGCTGGATCTACAGCCGTGTTATCACTAATATTTCCTGGTGGCCCTGAGGTTGATTCAAACGATAAGGTTATCAGTGTGATTATGATGGACGTCTTTCCTGCAAGTTGTCCATACAGTTCTGACACAATCAACAGGTGTTACAAGGGACTCCTTACCATGATTCAGATGTTATGTTAGAATAACATGGTTGAGGAGCCTGGAGTCAAAGTCTTCTGCTAGAAATATGCTAGGGGTGGATACAACTTTTGGAGAAAGGGGGATGCACACTTCATTTTCCATTTCAATGGTCATTTAATAAACTTTCAGGACAGGTGGGTGGGGGTTGCGCACCCCTGCACCCCCCACTGGATCCATCTATGCCCCCTTAGTTGGATGTCTCCTTCATGTACTGGTTGTTTTCAGATGGCGTTTTTAGATGAGAGGGGGTTCCGCAACCAGTCTCCGAAAGTCCGTAGTCGCACGTCATACTTATTTTCAAGATTCATCAAGGGATTAAAGTAAGTTTCACACAAATCTTGTTATGAATGAAAGATAGTTCCTGTTTTAAGATTTTATTCACTTTATTCCTAGAAATATTGGGGATTAATGATGTCAAAACAGTACATCATTACATAATACTGACATGGTTAGTGAATAATATTGACATGGATAACAGAAGTTGACAAGACTGTATTTAATGTGTCTGTGTCCCTCAGAGGCCACATGCAGCCCTACCTGGAGGACGTCCTCAAACGGCTCCAGGACCTCCTTGTCCTCAACACCCCGGACAACGGCTACTTGCACCTCCTGTCGGACGATGACCAGCTGTTTATGTATGAGTCAGCTGGTATACTCGTCGTCTCCAGCACCCTGGCACCAGAGGTCAGTATGATAATATGTGCCATGTCACAAGAGTTGTCAGAAACTTCCTAAAACATTTTGATCTGTGTTCTGTTTAGTGTCTCCGACAGATGTATAAACAAGGCTGCTGACACTGAAAAAATGTCATGTTGGCATTTTTATCTGTTTGGTTTATGAATGTCTTCTAATAAATTCAAGAAATGCAATTATTTCTATAAATCAGCAACATTGCCTTTTATGTGGTTGGATGAAACCCTTTCTTGTTAACAATCACTGATTTTATGCTCATGCACTTGCCTTTTTGTTATGTTGGGCTATTTGCACCAGAGATGAATAAAATAAGTTTCTTGTGTTTCCAGAAGAAACAAGTGCTGATGAAAAATCTCTTGGCACCAATTGCGAACAAATTTGAAGAGTTGCTGACAAAGCTGTACACTGAGACGGATGAGTCCCGTAGACTGTTGTATGCTAGATGTATTTCTACCGCCATGTCTTTAGCAAGGTGAGATCGATAAATAGCTCCGCACCACTTAGGAATGGAGCATGTATGATTTGGGAGTGGTTATTTTCATATAATTTCTTGCCATGAATAAGCTTAAATGTTTTCACCTTCAGCACTTTCTTTAGGAAACAATTTTCACAGTTTGCTGTGCAGAGTTGTTGTGCCTTGGATCCGTAATTGGCTCTGATTTTGATTGAGTTCTTGTCAGCTCCAAACCTGTACTTCCTATGAATGGTGCCAGTGCAGACTTTCCTCTCATGCTAAGCTTTCAGACCATGATCTAACTGTTGTACTGTTCATTTACTCACTTACTAAACCCACTCTCTCCCTTTCATCCTGTGTGAAGCCCATTTCTGGTGTCCCCCGCCGTGATATTGCTGGAATATTGCTAAAAGCATCAAAAACCTCACTCACTCTCTTCCATCCAGCCGTGCCAGCAAGGGTTTCTCCAGCCAGCAGACAATGAAGCAGAGCGGCTGCATTGCAGCATTCACGGAGCTGCTGAAGCTGTTCCTGAGTGCGCTTAACACGCCCGTGCACCGCCAGCTGATCCACATGGGTGTGCGGCAGTACCTGCACCGGATGGTGGTGTGCATGGAGGACGAGATCCTGCCCTTCATCCCCATCACACTGGAGCACCTCCTGAAGCAGCCCGAGGCCAAGGAGATGTACGACTTCATCCCACTCATGAATCAGCTCATCATGAAGTTTAAGGTGAGTTCATGTTGCCATAGCAACCAGTAGAGAACATGCAATGATATATTATCAGGAGACTCAACATCAGAATAGGTCCCTAGTAGCCTGAGGGGGGTTCACTTCATGACTTGGTTCATTGTGTGTCATTGGAATTTAACAGCAAGGAATTTTGTGACTCCACTACAGATGTATGCTGTATTGCTTGTCTGCTTGTCAGTTGTCTACATTGTTTGGAACCATTTAGACATGCTACTTATTGCTTGATTTGGAATCTCCCATGGGGATTTGGGATTGTAATATTTCCCATCAATCACGGCCAGTCATAAGAACTGACTTTATGAAGGTGAAGGTCAGATTTGGTGACTTCTTTGACTTACTGTTATAGCTGACATCTTTAGTAATGGTTTGATCGCTTCTTTGGATTGGCTCAGGCTTAATTATTTTTACGCTACCGACGTGTATTTTGTGCAATGAGTATTGGTGAGTGCACCATTAAACTACAAACAAAACATAATCATTAACCCTGATATCTGATTTACTGTTGTTTCAGTCCGCCATTGGGCCGTTCCTGAGCGAGGTATTCATGCCGTTTGTGACGACGATCTTTCAAGTTCTGTCATCTCCGGCTGATGAGCGAGATCAGGAGGTGAGGGAAGAGAGGAAACTGCTGCAGCGAGGATACTACCAGTTCCTGTCCACCATCGTTACCCATGATGCACTAGAAGTCCTCAAAACTCAAGGTACGAACCCAGTATTCCACACAGCAGGAAGTGTTGTACAGTCATTGTCACTTACACAGAGAGAAGACATAAGTAGACATGCAGCCCAGTATTCAGCTCCTTAAAATATGTCTGCTATTTTAAGTTGTATGAGGTACATTTGAACCCCTGTCTGAAGCTCAGATATATTGAATTCTTGGTTGTGGCCCCAACCCAAGGCCTGTCCCGGCAAACACTTACTACATTTCCTACCATCTTAACTTAGAAGTGTTGGACCAGATACATCAATTGTCACGCCGACGACCCGGGTTTGAATCCCCACATGGGCACAATGTGTGAAGCCCATTTCTGGTGTCCCCCGCCGTGATGTATTGCTGGAGTATTGCTGAAAGCGGCGTAAAACCAAACTCAGTCAGTCAGTCAGACTAATTATTATGCATTTTAAAGTTACTACATTTATTATTCCTGTCTCAGGTATAATGCTTCTTTATATATCAACCTGGGGGGTGGCACAATTGATCCCCAGCCCGCCCTCTGCTGCAGCCCCAGCCCGTCCCTCTGCCCCAGCCCCAGCCCCTCAGACTCAGACCCAGCCCCTCAGCCCCAACCCCAGCCCCAGCCCCAGTCCCTCAGACCCAGCCTGTCCTTCTGCCCCAGCCCCAGCCCCAGCCCCAGCCCCTCAAACCCAGCCCCTTAGTCCCAGCCGCAGCCCAAACCCGTCCCTCTGCCTTCTGCCCCAGACCTAGCCCCTCAGACCCTCAGTCCCCAGCCCGTCCCTCTGCCCCAGCCCTTCAGACCCAGCCCCTCAGCCCCAGCCCGACGCTCTGCCCCAGCCCCAGACTCTCAGACCCTCAGTCCCAGCCTGTCCCTCTGCCCCAGCCCTAGCCCTTCTGCCCCAGCCCCCAGCCCCAGCCCCTGTCCCTCTGCCCTAGCCCAGCCTCAGCCTCAGCATGAACCGCCCCAGCCCCTGGCCAAGGCCCAGCCCGAGCTCCACACTCATCCACATCACCATCCCCCAACACACTGACACGCAAGCCGACTAACATGTATGATCATTCATGTGGCCATTCTCCAACATAAAATGAAATCACTGAATCTTAAGTAATGTCTCTTGTAAGTGAGTAGAGTATTGACTGGTCTCACATTCCCAGATTTTATTAGGTATAGCTGATATATGGTGTCGCCCAGTCTTTACAGCTTCTGTTGATTCAGAAAGTATCACAAGAGTACAGGGACTTCAGTATATAACATGGCGGTGTTGTTCCAGACATGCAGAACCTGAACCAGGTGTTGATGTCCGTCGTCCAGGGCGCCGTGGAGATGCCTGATCCTCAGGTAAGTGCTGAGTTAAACAATCTAGACCAGTTGTCAGACACTGATCTGTAGAGGCATTGTGGTCGGGCACTTGGAACTGCAGGTCTCTATTCAGGATTACTTCCCTTAGGTATGACAGGATCAGCCTGAATTAACGATATCACCTTGATAATGATCCTCAGTTTGTCAGACTTGGAGCTATCTGCCATGACATATACTGTACAGTGGTATTTCAGAACTAATATCTGATCTAACCCTGCACTATACTTGACACATTGATGGAGCAACATCAAATTACCACTAGAACCGTGTGTTCTGTTGGTGTCGCCTGTTGCAATATTAACACTGACTGACACACACCGGACTACACTGTTGTGTGCCTGGTGTGGAAACTACAGCCAGTGACAGCTGTGGAGCAACTCAATATCTCATGTTATTGATCATGTTGACTCTTCAGGTATTGCATTTGTTGACCAAAATATTCGCATGAAAAAATGAAGGTCCATTTTAACAAAGCTTAGTGCTAATGTGAATGTAATTCCCACATGGATGTCAGCATTCGTTTATTTTTGTCCTCTGTTCAATTTCAGAGCCAGAAATTGTGCTTCAACATCTTGAAGAAACTCATCGATGCGTGGGGTGAGTTGAGAGTTTCCACGTGTTGAAGAGATTGTTGTTTAAATGCTTGATATACCATTTTACCATCGAAAATACCAGGGCAGAAGTTTGCATCAAACTGTGTTTAAGTCCTTGGAAATGACGTTATTAATGAACATAAGACATCCTATTTGTGTGAAGACCTCAGTGTGTTAATCTGTACAGGATTGTGCTGTACCTCTGGGGTCACTTGTAGCTGTACAGCAGTACTCTAATTTAACCTCCAACAAAAAAATTTCTTTGAAAAGTGAAAACAGTTGTTTGTATGAACTCTGAATTTTTGCAAGTCATGTGACTGGGTACAATGACCCACCTTAAATCATGTCCCTGATGTTGCTGTGCTCCAATTTTAGTTCCCAGTAATGATATTTGAAACAGTGTTAAGAACTGAAACCAATACCTCCTACACTGCTGTTGTCATATGGGAATTAGGTTTTTGAACATCATACAGATTTGGACGGCCATGTTTATCATGATTACTTGTGTTGTGACGAGGAGTGAGCATCACAAAAAGTCAGATGATGTCTGTTTTGCAGCCATTGTCTAAGATTGGGCCTCTCTTTCAGGTGGTAACAATGGCATTGTGGGATTCCTTGACTTCCTGTACAAGAGTATAATTCCCGCATGTTTCCTGGCACCGATGAAACCAACCTTTGACCTCACGGATGGTCAAACAGCACTAGTGAGTTTACAGTCCGATGTTATATATCATACATTCTTTTTCATAAAGATCTTCCTTGGGGTACATATATGCATTTTCTGTGACTGAAAATGTCATGTGACAGTTGTAACAATGTTTTAATAAAAGATTGTACAATAAATAAAAAAAGCCTTTTTATTGAGTATACGGCCCCCCACTACGTGGAGTTACCTCCCTTACCATGCATGCATGGCCAACCAGGTAAGCACCCTCGCCCAAATTATCATTCCTTCTGCTGTTGTGTCCCCTGCCATGCCAGAAAATGTGACTAATCCCAGTTTGCAATATCTTATACCCAGGTTTGTCAGCACCATTCTGATACTTGTGGGTTCACCAGAGGGGACCTGTGTCATTTCAGTGTTCCTTCAAAATCAAGCTGACAACTGTAATATAACAGAAATACTTTTCAAATTTGGAGAAAACTGAACAAATTCTTCTACTCAGTTCCTTTTGTGGTTACTGCCACTCACTCACTCACTCAATCACTCACTGTTGCTGTTTCAGGCTCTGGGTGAATGTGCCATGTGCTTGAAGAGCATTTTTGACAAGAGGGTAGGTTCAGTAATATCTTCTTACCTGAATGGAGTATAAACATATAAACCCACAAAACAGCAGTTATATTTTTTCCTTATCCTGACTCATGCTCTTTTGCTTGTCCCCTTCCTCTTGCGAACATAGTGGAACACTTGTATCTCCTTAATTGAAGCTCCCTTCAATGTAAAATCACTAATTGGTACTCACCCACGAGTTACCTCCCCTGCCGTAAGCGCGGGAACAGGTGTCGCCACCCTCTGGCCTCATGCTTCACTCTCTCCTTCTTCGCCCAGTGAGCAGGATGTGAGAGCGCCTGTGTCTCCTTACACACTATATCCTTTGGTTTTTCTTAGTTAGTTACCTTTTATAGTTTACTATAAAGGTATAGCTAGTATCCTTCAGTTATTTGCGTTAATAATTAATCGTATTTCTACTGTTTATTCACGTGAGTTCGTGATTGTTCAGCTAGTTTTACATTGATGAAAAACTGTACTATTTGTAGATTACGTTTTTCCGCTGCGGATCCGCATGTGGTATGCCCTAGTTGTACTACGCCTTGTGCGTTTGACTCACGTTGCAGTTACTGCATAAATTTAACCAATTCTGCCTTTGATAAATACCATCTTTGCGTCTTGAGACGTGTTGCAGATAGGTCACGCAAACTAGGTGTAGACATGGCCGATACGTCGGATTGCCCATCCAGTCAACTGCTGTCGAGTGATCCCCTCCCGTCTGGTGTTCTGCTTGAGACCCCATCGGAAGAGGGACGTGGGATGCAGTCCGTCACCTCTAAGAAGCGACCGGCCTCTCCAGACATCCAGTCATCGCAGACAAAGTCCAAGAGGGCCTCAACGTCTTCTCAACGCAGACTTCGTACCCCCAGGGCAGCGTCTTCCTCCAAAGGGAAATCTACGAAGTCATCGAGAACTTTCTCAGACGAGATCGTTCCAGCAGCAGAATTGGGCCTCTACGATGACCAGCCGATCATCATACCCGACATACGCCACAAGAAGCGACCAGTGACAGCGACAGTGACGTCAGCAGAGATCAACAAGCAGCCTGATGCCTCTACACTGATGTCAGACGAGATCGCTGAGGGCCCCACCGCTAACACAGCAGAAAGGGCACCATCTACTACGTCGCAGATCATCCCAAACGATCTTAGGAAACAGATCATGATTATGATGGAAGGCCACTATAGACTGGAGAAGCAGCCATCCCAGGGTCCGAAGTTTCGAAGGGCTCCAACGTGACAGCACCCCAGGGCACCATCTGTCAACGTAGCAGCCACGACAATGCAGCCTTCGCTGAAGGAAGTCACAGACCACCTCGACGAAGGACCCAGATGTACAGCCTTCGCGAAGGCCTTCGCGGCGGGAAGAATCATCATCACCTTTCAAGGCCATACTCAGATATGGAATCTGATCACCAGACCACACGCAAGCCTTCGCTAAGGTCATATCATCGTTCCCCAGGACCGGACGATCTGGCTTCGGCTGGCATAAGGCGTTCGCGAAGGACACCTGAACCCAGATCGTCTTCATCTAAAAGATCAGCAAGGGACTACACAAGAGCTTCGCGAAGCTATCAGTCCCCTCATAGATCGCCAAGAAGGTCAACCTATCGATATAGATCACCAAGACGATCACCTCGCCGATCACCACGTCGATCACCTCACAGGTCTGCACATAAGCCTACAACTAGATCTCCACAAGCGTCAAACGATATAGAGATAGAGCCACACAGCCCTACATCAGAAGAGCAACAACCTCTTATCTATGATGATGGAATGGAAGATGATGGAGGAATTATTTTCTCAGATGCAGAGATAAGATATTGGATGGTCAATAATCTAGATCTCTCATCACCTTCCAAGAGTGGCAATAAGGCGCAGACTTATCTGATGAAAGAAGATGACGCAGATGCTATTACACTACCCCCAATCGACCCGATTGCGTAGCGGTACCTCAGAACCTAGATACAGCATTTAACAAAGCCACAAAGGTTCAGACGCCACATCTGCCAAATTTCAGCGCAAGAAGTTCTCCACGCATAATATGGAACCCTTCTTCAAAGCGCAAGACATCGATGAGAACTATAAGCTGATCTCCGATGCCAAGAACAAGTACTACAAGATTGATGATCGGAAATTGGTTCAGATAGAAACCATGACGAGTATGTTCTTCGGTCTAAATAGATCTAGAACAATAAATGAGACACTTATCTCCAGATTTGAACACGACCTCTGAAGATGACAGAATGATTTACTCGGCCCTACTGATGCAAAAGAAGGACCAGCAGTTTTAACAGATCATCTGACGCCTGTCTCAGCAGCACTGACCTTAGCTCGTCGTCAAGGCCTCCTAGCTTCCTGCAACTGGGGTGAGAACTTTACAGCTCCACTATATACAGCCCCGTGGTCTTCCCCATCCATATTTGGACGGAGGAATAGACACAGTCTCCAAAGAAGTCACCAAGGATTCTAGAGAAGTCCTGATGATTAAATCGATGGACACGCTTTAGCCAGTGTCATTCGACAGACTTCACAAAGATACTCAGGAGATCTAAATTCACGGGGCCTACAAAGAGCTAGAGACAGGAAGATTGCCAGTTCCAGGGGAAGAGATTCTTTTAAATTAGCCCATATGGCAACTATAGAGGAGGGTCAGGGCGAGGCAGGACACCCAGAGGTTCCCGCAACTATAAACGCTGAAAGACAGGTTCGAACGACTGGAGTCTTCCACCCCAGCCGTTCCAGTACAACCGTCACAAGTGGGTGGGCGTCTTCAACTACACTGGGAAAACTGGGGAATACTTCAAGACACCTATGTCTCCAACATTCTTCAACGCCGGATTTCATATCCCACTACAGGCCAAGCCTCCACTAACAGTCAACCCTCACAAGTTCGAGGTAGAGGCACAACAACTACTAAAGTTAAGAGAGGCGGTTACATTACTCCTAACCAAGCAGGCCATAGAAGTAATAGAGCAAGGAAACATCGAACCAGGTTTCTACTCCCCAGTTTTCCTAGTACCCAAGAAGAACTCCAAGGAGAAATACAGACTCATTTACAACATGAGCTTATTCAACAAGACTTACTTAAACAAACCACCCAGGTTCACTATGATACATCTACGCCTTCTGACGCAGATGATTAAGCCCCATGGACTACATGGGCAGTATAGATCTACAAGATGCTTATCTGCACATCCCAATACATCCCAATCCAGGAAATACCTTCGGTTTACGCTAGACGGGTTTACATTACCAGTGGAAAGTACTCCCATTCGAATAGCATCAGCCCCATGGTTATTCACGAGGATAACGAAACCGATTGTTATCTATCTACATCGTCAAGGGCTACGCAGTGCGTTCTTCCTCGACGACGGGATACAAGTAGATCAAGATCCACAGCATCTCAAACTACAGTTAAACTACATCATAAAGCTACTAACACAGCTGGGATGGTTAGTAAACTTACACAAGTCGGACCTAGTACCATCGCAAGATCTGCAATTCCTAGGAATCCGATTTATCACCAATCTCAACCGTATAGTCGTTTACAGAAGACCGTTGGCTCAAGATCCAACAGATCATTCCACCAGCTCTACTGTCACCGCTACCACTTCGACAATGGCAGAGCTTACTAGGTCTTCTAACATCAGCCCAAGACTTGACAGTCATAGGCAGATTACAGTTACGTCCGTTACAGGTCTTCGATCAATACACATCTCGACGACCTACAACCATTCAGTCTACCGATACATCTCGAGACCTCATCTATTATGGTGGACAAAGAAATCGAATGTCTCGCGAAGGGATTTGTTTAGCAGAGCAGGAATTCAAGACCCATCTATATGTAGATCGTCACTCCAAGGTTGGGGAGCTCATCTCTCCAACCGACGGCATCAGGGTTATGGACTCAGCTAGAAAGCAAACTCCACATAAACGATTAGAGATGAAAGCTGTAATCAACGCCATAAGACATTGGAGCAACATTCTACAGAATGCGCACCTGATGATACATACCGACAACTTCGACAGTGGCGTTTTATGTGAACAGACAAGGCTCAACGAGATCGCTTAACCTTTTGAATTTAACCTTTCAACTGTTCAATTAATCCAAGATCTAAATCTACATGTCAAAGCATGCCACATTCGAGAGCCAGGAATATACTAGCAGACGCACTCTCTCGGCCACATCTACCGTCGCCGACAGAATGGATGCTCAATACAGAGATATTTGCACAGATAATCAAGCAAATAGGAGCCCGCTAGTAGATCTATTAAGCCACAAGGTTCAACAATCAACTACCGACATTAAAATTGTCACCAGTGCCAGACCCACAAGCATGGGCAACAGACGGCTCTAAGCATTTCATGGGAAGGCCTCAATGCGTCGCAGCGTTCGCCCCCAGCAATAATACCTCTAGTATTACAGAAAATCAACCAAACGCAGAGCCTACAACTCACTTTGGTCACTCCTATTGGCCGGCCAGAACGTGGTTTCCGCCTTAATACAAGATATCGGTCAACCGGCACTAGAACTACCTGCGGCAAACCTGTTAATACATCCTCACACCAAACAGGTGCACAGAAACCCAGAAGTATTCAAACTTCACGTATGGACTGTATTAAAATGTGTTTAAACAAGAGAGGATATTCTACCAGGGCGGCAAAAGCGTCACGCTTTGCCTTTACGATACTCAACGCGTAACTTGTAATGATGACAAGTGGCAAAGTTTCAAAATTATGCAACAAACAAGGGTTTTACAGCGAGAGATGCTACGCATCCTCAAGTGGCAGACTATTTGTGTTACTTACGGCAAAACAAACATTTAAAAGGCTCGACATTGTCAACATATCTTGCAGCTTAGTTCTGTGATTTCTATGAGAACGGGTGTTAAATTAACAAGAACACCAGAGTTACTGGCCTTACTACGTGCTTTCCGATGGAGGACCAAAAGCGGAAATTCCACGCTTCAGCTTGGGATCTGAATGTAGTTTTACGACACCTCACAAGTGAGGATTACGAACCATTGGAATCGATAACGCTTTGA